CTAAATATCAAGAGAATCCCATATTCTGGCATAAAGGATGAATCATTTTTTATATTTAAAATATACCTGTCTTCTAAGATTAAGAAGAATGAATATATCTTAAAAATCTTTGAGATTGCAGGTTTGCCTTGACAAAAAATTCCACAGCCCTTAAATAATTTACATTTCTAAGATGAAGAATTAATTTTGGGTTTATTTTTACAAAATTTTTATTTTATGCTGTTTTATTACAAAGCTCATATACATTGTTTTTCACACAGGAGGAATTAGTTTTTTTTTTTTTTTGAGGAATTAGTTTTGAATACACACACATGCATACACAAACACACACAATATTTTACTAATTTCTTTTTCATTGGAAGTATTAAAAATACTTTAGAAAATAAAAACAAGAATATATAAAGTGAAAAGGTAAAGGATCTTCCTTTCTGTATTCCTTATTCCCAATTCCTGTGGTATCCCTTATTTCCTTCATTCCATTTCCACTGAGGTAATCACATGTTTGTGCTTTCTTACAGAATGTTACACACACACACACACACACACACACACACACACACACACACACACTCTTTTTGAACTATCCAAATAGGATACTATTTTGCAACTTTGGCTTTTTCTAAGTAACAGTATATCTTTGATACATTTTCCAATTACCTTATTTAGAAATAACCATTTTTTAAAAACTATCCACATTTTTAAAATTGAGAAAGTAATACAGAGAGGAAGTGAGAGACAGCTGGCTTTAGACAAGTATGAAATTACCACTGTAAAAGGCTAATTACGTTTCTTCTGCAAGGAGAAAGAAGGAGGATGTGGGGCAGAAAAGACATTTTCTCACACATGCAAACACGAGAAATTGATACATGGATAGATTTAAACTCTAAATCATGCTCTTGATAGTTTTGTCAGCACAGAAAATTAAGAAGTCAGACTTACTAACCCTCATGGTATGGTGTGAAGAAGAGATGGCCTACATCGAAGGAAGTGATCTCTTTTAGATTAATATGCCAATTTTCTTCTGACACTTTCCCTTTGTGTCTTATGATGCTTCTAAAATGAATGGTTTTATTCATGCCAAATGAATAAGATGGCTATTACAATATCTAGCTGCCCATGTTGAGGCTACTTGAGAAGACAGCACAAGTTCTTTAACAGATAAATAAATCTATGCCAAGTTGGCTGACAGTGGATCCGATGTAAAAATGAAATTTGTGAAAGTCTTAGGGTCTGAATCCTAAAATGAAACTGTCCTGTTAGCTTGAAAAATGTGTAGGCTCCCAATAAGTGAAAAATCCATAGATATGATATTTTATGAATTATAAGTCTATATTTTACATATATAATCACCATATTTCTATTTTATAAATAATAACACACATGAATCACTCTGCTCAATCTGTTCCATCTTCACAATCTATGCAGGGCTAGAGTCCATTGTTGAAGCTATTGTGTTAATCCATCTCTTTGAGGTGTCTCCTTTTTCTTTTTTTCTGACCCTCTACTTTTCCATACATGATACCTTTCTTCCAGGGGCTGGCCCCTCCTAATGCCCAAAGTATGCAAGAAGAAATGTTACGACCCTTGCTTCCAAGGAACACTCTGGCAGCACATCTTCTAAGACAGACTTGTTTGTTCTTTTGGAAGTCTCTGATACAGTCAATATTCCTTGCCAATTTCACCATAAATATAGTTACATTATTATAAATACACCAGGTATGTAAAAGAAGATATATAATATGTATAACGGTCATCCATGTTTAAAACATAAGACAACAACATAAGAACTTTCATTAAAATCTAAGCTACACCAAGGTAGGAGGGTCTTTCAATTAGGAATCTGGAAGATGCTAAAAAGGCCGGCAGGCAGCCGCAGGTCAACTACGGGCAGCCAGCCAGGGAGTGCAGGAGCTGCAGGGTCTGGACTTTTAGGCAGGCAAGCAGGGTCCAAAGTTCAGGAAGTCCAGGGAAGTAGCATGTCAAGGCAGCTGTGGCAGATGGGAGACAGGATGTCGGCCAGGGACAAAGAGTGTTTACTCTTTTCATTCATTTGGCTCAGACAGGCCAGGGCTCTGCCTACTGCAAAGCTGAGCATGTGTTCAGAGCCTGAGGGAGAGAATAAAGTGCATTTGGGGCAGGTAGATGACAAGCCAATTGACACAGTGACTGCCATAATGGGCTTGAGCTTGACAGAGATCTGCGAGGACGGTGCAGGAGAGGGCAAAGTTCAGATCTGTTTTTCACAGGGTTTTTATGACTCATAGTTGCATTGATGACACTTAACAACAACAGGTTACAGAAGCAGCTTTATCTGAGGTGGTGTCTCTTCTAAGGATCCTGTTTGTTAACGGTAGAATTATAGGTAACACTCCCATTCTGGGAAAAGTAGAGGGTCATTGAAAGAGAGGAAGACCCTTAAGAGGATGGAATGACACAGTGACTGCAAAAATGGGCTTCAGGGAGGCCGAGACTGTGGCCAAGACACAGGATGGGACAACATTGTGATCTTTTGGTCACTAAGAGTGGTAGTTGATTTGATGCGATCCAACAACCACCACTTAATACAGGGTTATTCGTTATTGACTGATGCCAAAGTCCTACCTCAGAGATTCTGATTTAATTGGTGTGATGTCCAAGCACTGGTATGTTTGAAAAGCTCCCTGGCAATTCTCATTTCAAACCAGCGCTGAGAACTACTGATTGGAAACATCTGGAAAAATTTCAGTCAACTCTTTTGGAGCAGTTACAGGAGTATTATTTTCTGCACGTTGGGCAGTATGATTCATTTCAAAAAATGAAACCATTTGCAGAACATATTGTCTTTGGGGACTTTCTCATTATCTACTCAGTTTTGCTAAGGAAAGTCAACATATGGTTTAATCCTATGAATCTGAAACTGACATTTTCATGGAACCTTTTTTAAAAAATTATCTGGGCTCCACTATCTTTTTGTCCAAATCTTATCACAAAGATTTGATATTATAATCAGCCATCTTGACCCTTCTGTTGAGTAAGTCTGGAGGGCATGATACTTACAAAAGATTCCTGTCTATTCCTTCATCATGGACATTTTGGCTATGGAAATCCAAAGGAGCAGTCAGTGGGGCTGGAATAATCCCCCTTCCTTCTTAGAATAAACAAACATAACCAAAAAAACAAAGTCACTGTGGATTCCTCGTCCCAGCAAGGCCACAGGATAAGTAGGACAGGCCCATCTGGTTTCCAGGCTGCACATTTTTATGGAAGAGGGCTGACACATCTGTTTTCCTCCCAGTGGTAGGCGAGTTCCAACTGCTGACCTTTAGGTTGGCAGGCAAGTATTTAACCACTGTGCCACCTGGGTTCCTCCCTAGACTCATTAGAAATGTGGAACCCCTTTTTGCGTTGGGGACCTCTCACTTTCATCTGAAAAGTGAAAGAAGGTTAAAAACATTACCTCCCTTTTCTTGTCTACCTCTTGGTCTGCTTTTTAAGGCAGGTGATAGGAGCAATACCCTCTAGTTTATAGACCTTGTTCTGTAGCTAAAAGGCATTTATTCAACCCCCAATTGGAGACCAAGAGACTTTCTGGAGGTCACACATTTCCGGAGAGATTTACTGGCTCTGAAAACCCATGGGAAAGTCAGCTACAAGTCCATTGGAAGGTACATAACAACAACACAGCGAGAGAAGCCCAGACGTGGGCCTGCGACTGGCAAGCTTGAATCTGGACCTCTGTCCTGGCTGGAATACCACCTGGCCTTCTGAGAGGAACTTGTAAGTGGTAGATTTCTATGCCCACAAGAGGTTCTCCAGACACCTGTTGTTGTTGCTCATTAAGTCGGGACCGACCCTATATGGGTCCAGCTATATAGATCCAGAAGTTTTCAGAAGCAGTTAATTGCGCGGAAGGAGATTTCCGAGCCTTTTCTCTCAGAGCAGCCAATGGCCTCGAACCGTGTACCTTCAGGATTGCAGTGCAGTTCCTACAGCTCTGGTGGCCTAGTGTCAAGAAGCTGCGCTGTTAAGTTTTTTCGGAGGGAGCCTGTTTTCTGTTGTTAACTCGCTTCGCCTTAATATGTATTGACTGCTGCTGTCAAACCTCACATAGTAATCCCAAACAGAAGACGTCTCTGCTCTGCGCAGAGCCCAGCTGGGGATGGACCCCAGCAACCAGCCCCTGGGGGCCCATCTCAGGACAGCGCTGGCCTGAGGGGCACCAGTCGGGGAAGGGAAGGGAAGGCCTGCCTTTTCTCAGTGCAGATCAAAGGACTGAATAACCCGCGTGCAGACGCGGGGCAGATCTCGCGAGTAGGGTTCTGTTCCAAAGACCTGGGCCCGGCCACACTTGGGTTCTTCCAGGGGTCGCCAAGGGCAGGACCAAGGGCTGGGCCGGGGAGGAGCCAGGGGAGAAGGAGGTGGGAGAAAAGAGGCGATGGAGGAGAGAGAACGGGTGTTGGGGAAGAGATGGGCGGAGGGGAAGGAGGAGTAAACTCCGGAGAAGCCTGAGAAGCATCAGCCTCTGAGCAGCATCAGCTCCTGAGAGCATCAAGCCTCCACAGAGATGGAGGGAAGAACAGGAGGACAAGCGCCCGGGATGTGAGCAGCGGGGGGAGGAGCCAGGTAAAGGAACAGCAGGGGAGGGGCCAAGGCCGGGGGGGGCGGAGCCTGGCTGAGCCGAGGGCGGGGTCTGGAAGGGGTGGAGCCGGGAAGGGGAGGAACCGGGAGCGTAGCCTGCGAGAGGCGGAGTCGGGAAGAGCAGGCGAGGGCGGGGACTGGGCAGAGTCGGGGGCGGGACCATGGAGGGGAGGGGCCGGGAGGCCTCGGCTGCTGCCGCCGCCGCCCGGGCGCGTCCTCCGTCTCGGATCCGTCGCGCTTGTGCTCGCTCAGCGGCTGCTCCCCGGCACTGTCCCTCCCGGGCCTGTCCCGAGGCGTCGGCTCTGGCGGCCCCGGCTGACCTAGACGCCCCCGGTGGGCCGTCGCCGGGAGCGGGAGGCCGCGGAGACGCTCCGGAGCCGCCGCCGCCCGCCGCGCCCGGGGCCGGCATGGAGCTCTTCCAAGCCAAGGACCACTACATCCTGCAGCAGGGCGAGCGCGCGCTGTGGTGCAGCCGCCGGGACGGCAGCCTGCAGCTCCGGCCGGGTGAGCGGGGCGGCGGGGCC